GCTAATTTGGGTTTATATTTCAATTCAAATATAAGTTTTAATTATGATTAAATCCAAATTTTTGCCTTATTTAAAGTCAAGTTTTAAAGTTTACCAAGTTATAAAAATATAAGTTAAAATATAAGTTTACCTCCGGTGGCGCTGTTTTCTCCCTGGTGGGGAGCTCCGATACCAACGTTGGCGTTGCTGCGTGTTTGCACCATCGTCTTGGTGGAGGGTTTCCTCTAAGTATAATTCTCGAACTCTCAATGAGAGCACCAATTTGATGGACAATAAATCCACCAAATGATCTGACTCGGAAGGCGGATCGTAAGAATCTAATTAAGAACGAGAATTCGAGAATTGAGTCTGTATCCTCCGCTTCCCTTCCGGGTCTACTCTATTTATACATGAGCCTAGACAATTAAGGTAATGCATAATCAATGGAGTCTATCCCGTCAATGGCGCGATCCCCTTTTTCCGGCTTCGTCTCCGCCATTCAGTTCCGTCTCCTCTTTCGGATTGACTCTGCCAGCTGTTCCTGGGCCGGAAGTGACCGGGCCTGACTCCATGGGCCGGCCCGAGCCTGGATAACCTTCAAGCGCCTGACCCAAGTTGCTTAAATGATTCATTTGGGCCGCCCGGTGGGTATCGGCCCATCAGTAGAGCAGACAAAACACAACACAACATAATAAAACAGTAAAGTTTTTAACAAAGTGCTCATATTGTTGCACCACAGTATAATAACTAAACGAGATATTCATTTCAACGAAACAATCACGCAATTCAATACATGAACTTTAACTACATATATAATGATTTTACATATATTATACCACTACAAGCTAATATAATAACAAGACTAGTACATACTTATAACATTACTAACAATAAAGTTAAATTTATAATATTAAACAAAACTAACCAAGGATGGAGTCATATGTACGAAACTTAAACTAAATCATCAAGAAAACTGCCGGTCCAGAACTCTCAAATCTCATTCAGTTGGGTATTTGTGTATGGCGCAGTAGATTGGAATACCTACAACAAGAACGAAGACAACAATAAATCCAGAAAAATGCATTTTCCATCATGTATCGAAGGCTCTATCAAGATAGCTGCGATCTCCATAGTGTATCATGTACTAAACTATAGCCAATTAGAAGATTTTAAAAAGACTCCATTTGGACATTTCGCGAGGCTTCGAAAGCTTTAATTCTCTGGTTAGGTCTTGCATCAATTACTTCTCTTGCTTGTTAATAATCAATGAGGAGATAAATTCTAGATCTTGGAAGGCAGTGAAATTAAGAAATTCACTTTTGATTATTGGTGATGCATTAAAAAAAAGAACAGTTTTTTATCAAGGTATCAAAAAAGTTAAATTCAAGAGAAATTCCAAGCAAAGGTCAAGATGTGCGATAAGAGAATATGTGCAAAATCAGATAAAGAAGAAGACAAAGAAGAAGAACAAAAGGAAGAAAAAGAAGAATGAGAAGAAGATGGAAAGTTTGGAGGAACATTGTTGAAATTTTAGTAAGTTCTTTAGAACTTTTTGTCCAGCATAAAACTTTGAAAATATTCCCAATCTTTGATGTAAATGTAGTGCAAATCTACCTGTAATTTAGAAGCACTGAATGTTTTGTACTTTGGATTCACCTTTCTATTAGAGAAATATATTCTAATCTACACTAGCTACACCATTAAATTGTGTTATTGTCATTTGTGTTGTAACTATTGCAAAAATACAATAAAGAATAACTTTGTAGGAGAACTCTCTGTCTCTTACATAGGATTTTAATAAAAATTGAATGGAGAGTAAATCTTATGTCAATGAACTCACATATATTAATATCGTGTGAATGCATTTTCACAGAGAGTTACTACATTAGAGGATATAGTTCTCCAAAATAGGTGTCACAAACAAACACTAGAACATAAAAAAAGTATGATGTACATTAATGTTTCGGGTCGTGCTCCACAAAAAAAGTGCAAACTTCAAGCCAAATCATTTTGCGTGCGCATTAACAATTCGAACAAGTTTATAGACAATTACTGACTTTCAGACAATTTACACAGACAGTTAAAATCTATTCACAAACTGTATCATAAAATTTAGAAAATAATAAAAAGGACATCAAATTAGGCGTCTCATTCATGGAGCTCCTTTGGGTCCAGCACATATTGCATCTTACTTTTTATTTCCTTGTCTAGTGCACGCAAATGTAACACTTCTAGAAGTCCCATGTTTTCTCTCATGAGTCGTTTTAGTCTGAATTGGAGCATAAGCCAAATAATATTTTTGGATTTCTTCAATGCTTTAAAATTTCATCCCCACTTCACATACATTATGTTCCTTTGGAAAGACATCTACAATTATTCTGGAGGAACTCACTATTAGTGGTATGTGCTAGCACATCAGTGTTACTCAAATCTATGTTTTACACGAATTCGCTATTGGTTGCACATCGGGATCAAAACCTCCAAAAATACACCAACATTTATTTAATACAATGGCATGACAATGAAGAAAATGGAAAACACCAATTGCAGAGTGCATATAGACAATGATATGAAAAAAAATTCATAGAGGTTAAACTTTGGTAACAAAAATCACAACAAGTTTTTCAAATTATCTAGTTTAAATGCAATATCACTTAATCACATATGACCTTTAAGAAACAAAGTTGGCTCAAAACTAGGAAAAAACATACGCCCATATTTATATAATAGAATCCCTCACATTACAAATGATTTTCATCTGTGGCCATAACAAACCCTTGTTTCACAGATCTTTAACCTTTGTAACACAAATGACATTTTTTTTCAATTCCTCCAGCTCACATGTAAATCACCTCACCACAAATTTAAAAAACATAGCCAAACTTCCAACACTCACCAGTGGGCTAGGATTGATACAAAATCATGAATTCTTCATCACCAAAAAAAACATGTGCTGAAGTGTTCTCAACATTTGTTGCAATAGATGCATGGAAGTCCTCAATCATCCGATAGTTACTGTAGAGAACATCAAAAAATTGATTTGTTGCAAAAATGACAAAACATAAAATGAAAAGAAAAGATGAAGTCTAAAATGTGTGTTAATTTATTTGGGTTGGCCCAAACATAATAATAATATTTGACACCCAACCCAGCAGCCCATTTACTCAAGCCCAATCTTTATTCCTAACCTAATTAAGCTACCTTAATTAGCTCCTAAATCTCTACTATAAATTGAGGCTTCCCCTTTGTGTCTTTCACCATGCAATAAACTCCTTTCTCTCTTTGTGAGACTTCCGTGTGGGTTTCTTTCTTCCTTTATGTGTTCATCTCTGTTCTTCTCCGTTTCTTTGTGAGTGGAGTGTGGCGAGATTGGGTTGGGGTGTTGCTCTTTTTGGTACCCTTGTAGTGCACAACTACGAACCGATTTTTACGGGTGACCTGAGCCTAATCGAAATAAATAAATACACCTAACAGTGGTATCAGAGCCTGGTTTATGCTCAGTATTTATTTGTTTTTCCGTGGGGTGTCAATTCTCTTTCTTTTTCAGATCTGCTGTCCCTACATGTCAAGACGGTCCAATGGTCAAACTTTGTGCATGTCCTTCTTTTTATCTCTTTAATTAAAAAAAGGGAGGGTCCAGTGGGTTGTTTTTCAAAAGAACAAAAAAAGGAGAGGGACGGTGGTCTGACATCTTGGGCATCCTTTCTTTTTCCGTCGTTTTTTCGTCAATTCGTGTGGGTCAAGGACGGAAGAGTGTGACTTGAGAATTGGGAGCGATCTTCGTGCGATCATCGCCAGTGTCTTGCGACGGAAAACAACAAGCGACCATCGACCGGCAAGAGAGCTTCACGAAGCAGACCTTGACGTGCTCCGGCGAGCGCAGAACCTTAGCGTCGGACAAAGGCAGAGCTACTCCAGAGACTGCTCAAGCTCATCTCCTTTCTTCCTCTATGGAGTTGGTAAGTCGAATCTAGGCATTAGATTCGCCCAGGTACACAACTCTTTATCCCTTGCTTTCGTAGCAATTTTTTAGGGTTGTTTAATTCCGCTGCATTATTTTTCGTTTGCCTAATTCCACTATAGTTTGTGCTTGTGTGAAAGAACAACGGGATTGAGTAAGCAATTTTGCTAACATAATAATCTTGGGTTGTTCGTGCGATTGCTTCACACACATGAGCCAAATTTGGAAAATTTAGGCCAAATTCTACGTGCCTCTGTGTTGCTGATTTTTTCAGTTTTTTATTGTCTTTTGTGGATTTTTTTCTCCTTTGTGGTGATTTTTTAATTGTTTTTCTCCTGTGTGGATATGTCTACTATGAATCAGTATGCTTTGACTCCTGTTAATAAAAAAAACTGATTTTAGTGTTTGGAAACAAAAATTGAAGTGTGTTCTTGTTCATCAAAAAGTTTATAGGGCTGTTAGTGATTCATATCTAGAAACAGACGCTAAAGAGAAAAGAGTTGAAATGAATGAAATTGCTTGTTCCATAATTTACTTTAACTTAACAAACTGTGCTAAAGATCTTTGGAATAAACTTGATGAACTTTATACTGAAACTTCTTTGCCAAATAAGATTTTCTTACTTGAAAAATTTTTCAAGTTTAGATTGGATATGTCTAAAGACATAGAAGAAAATCTAGATGTTTTCACCAAACTGATTTCTGATATTAAATTAACTAGTGATAAACATATTGACGACTACACCCTTATTGCTCTTTTGAATGCTATTCCCGATTCCTATAGTGATGTTAAATCTGCAATTAAATATGGTAGGGATAATATTTCTCTTGATGTTGTTGTGAATGGTCTCAAGAGTAAGGAATTAGAGTTGAAAAATTCTAAGAGTGATAAAAATTCTGGGGAGGTTATGCATGTGAGGGGTAGAACTTTGAATAAGTTTCGAAACCATAAACATGCTAACAATGATAACTCAAATGTGAAAAAATTCAACCAGGGAAGGGGTAAGTCTTGATCCAAGTCTAAAACAAGAAAATGCTATAATTGCAATGAATATGGTCACCTTAGTAATAGTTGTTCTAAGCCTAAGAAAATTTAGCAAAAAGATCGTGTTAATATGGCTAGTGAATCAAACAACTTTGGTGATGTGTTAATGATCAAAGATTATGCTTATTTGAACTCTGTGCTATCGGATTATCTGTGTGAATCTGATTGGCTAGTTGATTCTGGTTGCACCTTTCATATGTCACCATTTAAAAACCTTTTTTCAAACTATCAAGAGATTGATAATGGTATTGTGTCCATGGCTAATGAAAAGAAATGCAAAGTTTTTGGAATTGGAGATATGTGTCTTAAATTTGACTCT